TGGGGGGGTGGAGGATAGTGGAGGCAGTTCCTGAGGGGGCTGATAGGGCAGGGGAGTGAGATGACCAGTGAAAGGGCAGGGAGCTTGTTTTGGCAGGGGGCAATTAACCAAAGGGGCAGGTACAGAAACGGAGCCAGTCTCAACGGCGCGCTCAGGACTTCGGTTTTCTCTTTATATTTACAAGAAAGTCTCATCTCTCGCATTAAAAATGCCCCCCCCCCAACTACCCCCCCTGGGGCAGATAAGCGAGGCCCAGGGCCAGGGGGGCAGGAGGGGGGGGGCAAAACCCTAGCATCTCCCCACACCCCTCCCCTTCCCTCAGTAAAAACAGTCCTGTGTCGCTCATCTCCCTCCACGGGGCAGAAAAATAGTCCCCAGGGTAGGGGGGCAATTCCAGTCTGGGGGGGGGCAATAAGGAGGTGGAGGGGTCATTTGCCTCCTGTGGCCCCCCCAAAATGTCTTGGTGATAAAAATAGACGTTCTCTGGCTCGTTTCCGGGGCGATGGGTCTGTCTGACAGGGGCGCCAGTGGCCATATTGGTGGTAGGCCTCAGGCAGGGTGGTGGTAGTGGCCATTTTGTTGTAGGCCGAGGTGGGGCAGCAGTGGTGGCCATCTTGACGGTAGGCTGAGCTTAGGGTAATAATAGCAGCCATCTTGGCAGTAGGCTGAGGCAGGGGTGATGATGGTAACCATCATGGTGTGGCAGCAGAGGCGGCCATGTCTGCTGTAGGCTGAAGCAAGGCCGTGGCACTGATGGAGGACAGGCTGTGCTGTCAGCCATACTGGCAGCAGGCCAAGGCAAGGGGGACGATGGCAGCCATCTTGTGGCAGTAGGCCTAGGCAGGGCTGTGGTGACGGCTATGTTGGCAGTCAGCTGAGCCAGGGCTGTGGTGGTGGCCATCTTGGCGGTAGACCACAGGGAGGGGCTGCACTGGTAGCCATCTTGGCAGTAGATCATAGGGAAGGGTTGTGGTGATGGCCATCTTGACGCTAGGCTGAGGAAGGGGCAATGGTGGTGGCAGCCTTGACCGAACTGGTGGTCATCTTGGTGGCAGGTGAAAATTAGGGTCCATCTTGATCATAGGCCAAGGAAGGGTTTACGGTTGGTTGGAGGCCAAAGACAGGACTATAGTGGTGGCCATCTTGAGGGTAGGCCAAGGATGGGCTTTGAACACAAGTGTTAAGTTGAGGAAGGAGGTGGGGAAGGGGCATTTATTGGCGGGCATCTTGGTTGTAGGGTTGGCTTCTCACCATCATCATCACATTGTATGCTAGAGCAGGAAGTTCCACCTTTAGGAAGAAGCCTGCTGGTGGCCGTCTTTGATTTGGGAACCCTTCATGCCCGGTTGCAGATCACATCGGCGACAAGAACAGAAAGGGCCGTAGAAGCAACCATCTCACTGGAATGAGGATCAGGGAAGGCTGGCCAACTGCCATCTTGGATGGTAGACAAATGGAATCCCGTATAGGCAGCCATCTTGGATTTTAGCTTGCTTGGAACCCCATAGGGAGGCCATCTCAGATTTTGCCAGTCTTTCTGCCACGTGGACTTTCAGTGCACAGGTGGCCATCTTGGATATCAACATGTGAGCGGCCATCTTGGGAATCCAAGTGTGGACAGCAGTCTTGGACTTCAGAGCACCAGCAGCCATGGACAGCCATCTTGAGCATCAAATCATAGGCAGCCATCTTGGATGTCACCCAACCAGTAGATCGCTTGGTTAGAAATACTTGTGACACAGTCTTGTCCATGAGCAGCCATCTTGGATTTCACCATACACGCAGATAGGTTGGGTAGCAACACGTGCAAAGCCATCTGGGATGCCAGCTGCAGGTGGCCATCTTGGATTGTGACACCCAACCAGTTCCCAATGAAGATGGGCCTGTGCAATCTATACTAGGGGGCATGTGAAGGCAGGGGAGAGGGGCATCATCTGGCAACAGAATAAGGCCGAGATGGGGCTGGGGAGGGCAGAGGCCTGACATGACCCCCACTGCTGCTGGCACCCTGGCCTACTCACAATAGAATTGGGGGGCGGGGGAAAGACCTGGAAATACCCCCCAAATCCACCCCCCGCCGAGAAATTAACCCCTTCCCCCTGAAAAGGGTGCTGAATTTGGCACAGATCTTTACAAAATGCAGTAAAAAAAGAAAACAAACCCAAAACAAAACCCTAGTTATAGGTAGAGAAGAGATAGAAAACCCAGAGAGCAAAGCAGAGATGGCCCATCCTGCTTTCCCAAGGCTCTCTCTGGCCCCCTCCCCCTGAGATGCCATCACACCCCCTGTGTCTGCTTGGGGGGCGGGGGAGAAGGGAGGAAATCCTGTGCTTCTGAGGTCACTACTCTCCACTCCTCCCACCCATGTTTCGGGGTGCCCCAACCTAGGGCCCACGGGCGCTGCACATGAGGGATAGATGGGGAGACTGGATGAATGGGGAGACAGGGTGTGTGGGGATGAATAGATGGATTGAGGGAGTATGTAAGGAAAGAAGGGAGGGGTGTGAAGGGAAGGATGAAGGGTGTGTTGTGTGGGTGGATGGATGGATAGATAGAATGTATAAGGTTTGATGGACAGATAGAGGCCATGTGGATAGACAGATGGATAGACAGATAAATATATAAAGGCCATGTAAGCAGATGGATGGAAGGATGGACAGATAGTGTGTATAAAGCTTAATGGGCAGATAGAGGCTATGCAGGTGGGTGGACAGACAGATGGATGGACAGACAGATATAGAGGGTGTTTTTGGATGGACAAATGGACGGATAGGTGCACGGATGAGTGTAGAATACATGACAAACAGACATAGGGGATCGATGGATAGAACAAATTAATGACCAAACGAACAAACAACTGAGGGGGCACATGGTGAATGGATGGATGGACAAGTGGACAGAATGAACAAACAAACTGAGAAGGCACATAGGGGTGGGTGGATGGATGAATCAACCCCATTACCCTTGGACAGACAAATCCCATGAACATGCCTACTCAACGACCCCCTGCCCTCCCACTCAGTCCATGGGGGTCTCTCACCCCGCTTTTCCCTCCTGCAAGCAAGCACTGGACCCCCCACCCCCACCTTTCCCTGACAGCCCCACCTCATCCAGCACCCCTCCATCCCCAGCCTAGACTTCCTCTCCGGTCTCCAAGGCTGTTTGGCACTTCTCCACTCACTAGTTCCTTCCTTCACTTCTGCAGCCAACAATGGCACCTCCAGAGCCATTGGGGATCTTGGGTATTTGGCACTGTTGGCTTGACAGAGAGGGGAAAGAGAAGGAAGGGGGAAGGTGGCCAACGGAATAATAGAGTGAAAAGACGTCAGGGCAGGAAGGAGGGAAAAAGCAGCTGATGGAGGAATAGACAGATGAGGCATCAAACCATTGGAAGAAGAGAGTGGGAAAGTGCTCCATGGAGGAGCAGACTTGGGTTGGGAAGGACAAACAAGTACAAAAGGAGGAATATGAAAGCCACCAGCAAAGGAGTAGGAGGAGGAAATGTAACCTTGGGAAGAAGGGGAAGGTGAAAGCAGCTGGTGGAGGAGAGGAGATGCCCAGTGAGGTGGAGAAGACAGGATGGAGGAAGAGAGGCGGGTGGAGGGGGCATGCATTGGGG